GGGGGGGGGAGTAGAGAAGAGAGCAAGGAGTATAGAGAGAAGAAGGAAATGTATGGAAAGGGAAAGGATGAACAGTAGAGAACGGGAAAGTGAGGAGGAGGATGGAGGCGAGATGAAAAATGAAGAAGTTAGGGGTACAGAAGAGAAAACAGAGGGAGGAGGTGAAAAGGTTGTGATAGAAGAGCTGAAGAAAAGCTGGGCGTTAGAATATTTGGCGGAAGAGGAAGACGTGGTAATAAATGCGTCAATGAAAGAGCAGGAAGAGGAAAGAAGTAGAGAGAAAAGGAAAGGAGAAAGGCGAGAAGAGAGGATGGAGACGGAAGAGTGCAGGAAGAGAAGCAGAGATAGGGACACGGAAGAGGAACAACAGGATGTCCTGGGTGGCAAGGAGAAGAAGAGAATCAAGGAGGTTAAGGGAAGTGAAGGTGGTTTAGGTATAGTGATTACAGCCAATGGGAGCAGTGAACAGGAGGTGGCTAGGGGAATAGTAGAGAACAGGTTGGCAGGAAGGGACACGAGGGCGACGGTGGCGCCCGAGAAAGGGAAGCGGTGGCGTGGGGTGATAGAAAGAGACGCGGACGTGATCGACCATTTTGAAAGTGAACGTGTTAAGGAGAAGATTGTAGAAGCGAGTGAGAAGTGTGTAAGCGAGAGAAGTAAGGACAAAGAAGCGTGTGAGGACTTTGAAGGTATTAAAAACTTTGATAATTGTAGCGAGAAGGCAATAAGTAGGCTAAGTAAGAATAAGGTAGTGGATAAGGACAAGGAGACAAGCGAGCACGGGGAAAAAAGGGATAAGGGTAATGGCGGAAAGCAAGACCACGTGATGGAGAACACTACAAAAGTAGTCGAAGAAAGGGATAGGGACTATGCGAGGGGAAGAAATAGAGAGTGGGAAACGGGAGTTTACGAGGAAGATATCAATCGAGAGGAATATGTTGTATGCGTAGTTTTAAGGAATACAGGTCAAGTGGGGAATAAGGGAAGGGTTAGCACAAGGGCTACAAAGCGAAGTAATCTTATTAAGATATATAGATTAGTGCAAGGGGCAGGAGTGAAGATTCACACAATACGGATGATTAATTTTAGCAAGGCGGAGGTATCAACAAAGAAGAGGACGGAGGCAAACAGGCTGTTGGAGAAGTACGGCAAAGGCGAGGGTAATGTGAGAGCATTTTTGCCGAAAAGGATGGCGTTCAGGAGAGGGATTATATATGAGTGGGAGGACTCTGTCGAGGAACTTAGAGAGGAGGCTATGCCGGGGCAGGGAGAGTACACATTGGAGAGGATGACGAGGAGAAGGATTGTGGATGGTAAAGCAGTATATGTTCCATTAAGAACGATTATGATAACGTTTAGGGGAGGAGTGCTGCCCATGAGACTGTTGATAGGGCAGGGACATGTGGGTATTAGAGTGGAACCATATGTGGAGCCAGTGAAGCAGTGTTTTAGATGTTTCAAATATGGACACTATCAAGCACAGTGCAAGGAGGAAAAGAGAAAGTGTTTGGTGTGCGGGGAGGAGTACCATGGGGACTGTGATAGGAGACCCAGGTGTGTAAACTGTGGGGGGGAACATGGCTCGTTAGCAAGATGCTGGGTATGGCAAAAAGAGGCGGCTATCAGAAAAGTGATGGCGTACAGGAATGTTGAATTCGAGACGGCGAGAGGAATCGTGGCAAGGTCGACGGGGGATACAGAATGGGACAGAACAGGCGGTGTGGAAGAGTTAATAAATGGAGAAGTAATGGGGAATTCCCGGCGTTGGTGGTTAGGGAAAAAAGGGAGACTTGGGAAAAGAAGGAAGTTCCTATACAGAGGGAGGTGGAAATGATAAGAATATTAAGGTAAGAGAGAAGAGAAGGAAGGAAGGAAGGAAGGAATGAGACAGGAAGAGGGGAAGAGATAGCAGCGGTCGGAGGTGAAAGTGTAGGTGCAGTTGGAGGAAGTGAGGAGAAGAGGAGAATGGAAAAGGAGGGGGGTGAATGGAGGCAGGTAAGAGGTGGATTAAAACCGGCGTGCTATAAGGATAGTGTTGAGGGAGTAGTGTTGGGAAACCGATTCATATGTTTGGAGTGTAAAGAAAAAACAGAGAAGCAGAAGAGGGAGGGTAAGATAGAGATATTGGAGAGAATTCCGCTACTCAGATACATGGTGGGCGAAGAACCGGAGGGCGAATGCGAATATGAAAGACTCGAGCTTGCACTGAACAAAGATGAGATGGAGAGGGAGAGGAGAAGGGTTAGGAGGGAAAAGCAAATGAATAGAGAGTGGCTGGTACAACTAAAGAAGAGAAAAGAGGAGGAAATTCTAGAGGACGTTATTAAAATGCTAAAGGAGAAGAATCTGGAGGGAAAGTTGGAGCAGATAATGAGAGCGGGAAAATATAGGGCAAAAAGAACAGTGCTACCAGACCCAGAGAAGGACTGGGATGCGGTAACGACACCCCCGTTTGAAATTACGATAGATCAAAGAACGAAGGAAAGGCTACAAAGGAGAGCAGAGAGAGAAAGAGAGGAATTAAGGAAAAGGAAGGAAAGGGAAGAAAGGGAGAAAAGCCTTGCGATTATTGACTGGAAGAAAGTGAGGGAGAGTTGCAAGGGGGCAGAGGAAATGAACAAAGGGAAGGAGGATGAGAAGACGGAAGGAGAAGAGAGAAGAAAAGAAGAGGATCACCAGAGGAAGATGGGGGAAGATGGAGAAGAGTAATTTTAGTGGGCGAGGAAGAATGAAGAGGAGGAAGTTGAAAGGGGGAGAAGGGATAAGTGCGGTGAATAGAGAGTGTATGGATAAGAGAAAGTATAGTGGTAGAAGATGTAGAAATATAAGGTAAAGTGGGGTGGAGAAAGTGACGGTATGATGAGCGAATGGCAGGAGGAAAAGATGAAAGGACAGGAGTTAGAAAGTAAGTTAGCGTTAAGAGTAAGAAGAGTCAGGGAGAGTAGACGGGAACAAAGAGTGAAAAAGGAAAAAAGGGAGAAAGGAAAAAAAGAAAAAGAAAAAAATATTTTCACAGCTGTAGATTCAGCATTCTCAAATGGTTTGAACGAGAGAGTGAACCAAACACTGATAAATAAAATACG